AACAAAATCAAAGGACTTGAATTTTTAATGATGCTTTCCAAAACCCAAAGCTACACGACTCAAATTTACAGGCTGAAAGATTAGTCCCAATGGACCTGACTTTTCATCATTGCTTCATATTACTAGAAAAAAAAGATCCATATTCATTGAGAGTGTTTTTATTGGCAAAATGTTAACTCTCATTTATTAATAAAACTAAAGACCATGGAAAATGACAATGCTCAGGGACACATTAGTTTACATTCCACCATCTGATGATTTATATCATGGTCTTGTACTAAAAAATTATACCATAATATAATAAAAATAAATAAATTGGCTTTCTAATAATTCAAGCTCAGCTACACCTGCATACATAATACCTCATTCCTGGTCTATTACAAGATATCATTTTGAGATTTCATATTTGCAAGTGTATTAAGAAACATTTCTTGTTTTTAAATGCAGCCCATTACAGTTCAAAGCAACTGAGGGGCATCAGTTCAGGAAAAAATTGAGTTAAGATTTCTCTCACTGGAATGATTAACCCTTTCCTGCCCAATTTCTAAGAATTAAGTTCTTAATCAGGATGTACCAATATACTAATTAACATCCAGCTATGAACCTAGTGATAACTCATCTATGATCTAAAGTGCACTAATTTGCATTGTATTTCAGCCATAAGTTTTCTGAGAACTTTAAAAACATTCTGCATAATATATATTTAAAATTCTGTGCTGTGAAGGAACTTCTCTACACTTATACTTCAGTCTAAGACATTTTAAATAATCAGATAAGAGGACTAAGAAAAATATCTCAGAAACTTTGTCTCAAGTCAGACCTCTGCAGTGGTGGTATTCGACTGGTTCTGCCCTGTTCTGGAGAGCCGGTAGCAGCGGTGAGCAGCGGAGACAGAACCAGTTCTCTCAGTTGCTCTGTGTTTGACCCACCCACCTGCCTGGGATCCCACACTCACTTTTATGGCCAGAATTCAAAGTGCAGCTGCTTTGTGCGGCGCAGAATAGTGCCGCACGGCAGCTGCTGGAGCAACTGGCATCGTGCAGGCTTGCAGGAGGTGACTTAGAACACCTCTGAACCTGCACAAAGTGGATGTTTGGTGCATGCATGCATGCAAAGTGTGTACACATGTGCAAAGCGCACCTACCAAGCCACGCCCACCGAACCGGTGGCAACTTTATTTGAATACCACCACTGGACCTCTGTCACCATGATAGATCTCTTGTACAAGATTTCAGAGCTGTATTTTATATATTAAAATATATTCAAGAGACTATATGAATGGAGAAAAATTATTTTATGACCATTCCCATGTTGTTGTCTTTTTTCCCCCTCTGTTGCATCAGTATTTCCTGGATAGGAGTTCCCAAATCATTTTGCATTCAGATAAATCCTGTGCAACTTTATACACTGCTCAAAAAAATAAAGGGAACACTTAAACTACACAATGTAACTCCAAGTCAACCACACTTCTGTGAAATCAAATTGTCCACTTAGGTAGCAACACTGATTGACAATCAATTTCACATGCAGCTGTGCAAATGGAATAGACAACAGGTGGAAAGCACAGGCAGTTAGCAAGACATCCCCAATAAAGGAGTGGTTCTGCAGGTGGTGACCACAGACCACTTCTCAGTTCCTATGCTTTCTGGCTGATGGTTTGGTCATTTTTGAATACTGGCAGTGCTGTCACTCTAGTGGTAGCATGAGACAGAGTCTACAACCCACACAAGTGGCTCAGGTAGTGCAGCTCATCCAGGATGGCACATCAATGTGAGCTGTGGTAAGAAGGTTTGCTGTGTCTGTCAGCGTAGTGTCCAGAGCATGGAGGCGCTACCAGGAAACAGGCCAGTACATTAGGAGACGTGGAGGAGGCCGTAGGAGGGCAACAACCCAGCATCAGGACCTCTACCTCCACCTTTGTGCAAGGAGAGACAGGAGGAGCACTGCCAGAGCCCTGCAAAATGACCTCCAACGGGCCACAAATGTGCATGTGGCTGCTCAAATGGTCAGAAACAGGCTCCATGAGGGTGGTATGAGGGCCCGACATCCACAGGTGGGGGTTGTGCTTACAGCCCAACACTGTGCAGGATGTTTGGCATTTGCCAGAGAACACCAAGATTGGCAAATTCGCCACTGGCGCCCTGTGCTCTTTACAGATGAAAGTAGGTTCACACTGAGCACGTGACAGATGTGACAGGGTCTGGAGATGCCGTGGAGAACATTTTGCTGTCAGCAACATCCTCTAGCATGACCGGTTTGGCAGTGGGTCAGTAATGGTGTGGGGTGGCATTTCTTTAGGGGGCCGCACAGCCCTCCATGTGCTCGCCAGAGGTAGTCTGACTGCCATTAGGTACCGAGATGAGATCCTCAGACCCCTTTGAGACCATATGCTGGCGTGGTTGGCCCTGGGTTCCTCCTAATGCAAGACAATGCTAGACCTCATGTGGCTGGAGTGTGTCAGCAGTTCCTGCAAGATGAAGGCATTGATGCTATGGACTGGCCCGCCCGTTCCCCAGATCAGAATCCAATTGAGCACATCTGGGACATCATGTCTCACTCCATCCACCAATGCCACGTTGCATCACAGACTGTCCAGGAGTTGGGGGTGGCTTTAGTCCAGGTGTGGGAGGAGATCCCTCAGGAGACCATCCGCCACCTCATCAGGAGCATGCACAGGAGTTGTAGGGAGGTCATACAGGCACGTGGAGGCCACACACACTACTGAGCCTCATTTTGACTTGTTTTAAGGACATTACATCAAAGTTGGATCAGCCTATAGTGTTTTTTCCCACTTAAATTTTGAGTGTAACTCCAAATCCAGACCTCCATGGGTTGCTAAATTTGATTTCCATTGATAATTTTTTTGTGATTTTGTTGTCAGCACATTCAACTATGTAATGAACAAAGTATTTCATAAGAATATTTCATGCATTCAGATCTAGGATGTCTTATTTTTGTGTCCCCTTTATTTTTTTGAGCAGTGTAGTTCTGTTTCATTTAATCATGTAACAGTCGCTGTAGTAAATTGAACCGCATGATCTTTTATTAATTTTAGTAGCACCTTTGGCCAATACGGCAATATCTCTTGAAATTGGAGATTTCTCTAGTATATGAACATATAGTGTATCTGATTTCCTACTATTCCAAATATCAATTATACTTTCTTGCCTGAACAGCAAATAAGCCTGGCTACATACATCATATTACAAGCCCAATCATTGATGAATTTTTGAGACCTCCAGATCAGAAGAAAACTGTTGGAACTGGGAATGTCAACATACTTTCATAGTCATTTCTCTCCCTGAAAATAACTTAGTGAGAGTGGAATTTCTGGAAGAGGGTTCATCGTAACAATGACTAGTAAGAGGAAATTCTTGCAGATCTTTCCCCACCCCCTCCAATTCTTCAACATACAAGGCTGAAGGTTGAAGACTCTATAGCAAATCTTGTAGTACAGGACTTAACCACAAATCTTGCTGGCACCAACATATTTACCAAAAAACCCCAGATGATGTCTGTGCAAGGCCAATAGAAATTAAAGACAGAAATGGCAGCATTCTCATGAAGTTACCAAAATTTGTAAGATTTCTCACAAAGTCATAAGCAAGAGGTATAAAATCTTGCAGGACTTCTACACAAGATTATAAGACTGGATTCATAAAAGTTATACCTGAGATTTTGGGCCATTGTATAAAAAAAAAAATGTGGTACCCGTCTTGAGAAAAAATACCAATCTCTGTTGGAACAACTGGAAACAAAAAATGCCAAATTTGACCCAGAGATTTGATAAACCAAAAGTTGGGATGTCTAATGATTGATTCACACGAAATGATTAACACATTTAGAACATAACTTTGCTAAACAGTTTGGAATAGATAGCTGTTTAGGAAGAAAGCGAATAACCCCAGGATGAAGTGATCTGCTTACAAAGACTTTATTGAAAAAATAATTCATTTTTAAAAGATTCCTTGCAACGTTGAACAAGACCAGAGTACAGAGCTTCAAGAAGCACTCAGAAATTACTGAACTGCTTTACTTCCTGCAAAGTTTTTCGTCATTGAGGTGGGAGGGGCAATCACCTCCCAGCCTTACTCCCGAGTTGCCCCCTCTGCTTCAGCTGCTCTCACCTTCTAGCAGCTCTGTGCATATGAGCATTGGGAAAAGGCTCCCCAGAGTCCTCTGCCTCACTGCTGCCAGCTCCAAAGGCAGCACCCCACTCCCAGATGGTCCTGGCCCCATCCTTGCATTGGATGCAGGACCCTCATCCAAGTCCTCTCCAGACTCCCTGACTGGTCCCCTTTTCCTCCCACTGTCCAATACCTTTGCCGTCTGCACCGAACCACAACATTACCTCCTGTTGAAAGACAGAGTATCCATAGTATGTTGTTCTGAAAAAGCAATTCATGAAATTCATACGTGGGGGGGGGGGGGGGGGGGAAACGACTCTACAAAATATTTTATGGCCATGGCAGTTACCAAGATTTGCATGGTGACCTGGAAGATGTTCCCTGTTTTAGACTGGTCTTAAATTTAATCTGTTTTACATGTTTCTTTTAAAAAAATGTGATTGACATGTTGGATGAGTAAAACCAGGTATATCCAGCTTAAATAAAACTATCAGCTACAATATTCCTCCTCTTCCTCCTCCTCATTTTAGCCATTGTCTACCCATTGCAGGATGAAGGCCTCTTCTGCATGTTTCCAACAATATGGTCTTGAGCTTTCTTTTGCCAATTGGGCCCACAATACTTGCTGATACTTCCACATATTAATGAATAATAAATTCTAGGATATGATTTTGTACTTGACAGGAAAAATGATTCACAGGCCATAATTAACATCTTTTAATGTATATCAAGTATTACACATATTAAAACACAACATTTAACAATAAGATTCTTGCATTAAGATAGCTCTAATACAGGAAAATTTATTTTTATAGTATATTAGACAGTGGTTTTAAATAACTTCTCTTTATAAAATAATAGGCATTTTAGGCACAACATATGAGAACTCTATCCTGCTAAAGTTCAAAAAAAAAAAAAGATGAAGGAGGTAGGGCTTTTTCCCAAATTTCAATGAGATAAAAGCAGGATGTGCTTCTGACAGATTGTGCCACATGTCAGTATATTACATACAAAAGTAGAACCTTAAAATAAAAGTATCATTTTTTTTTACAAAATTACAAAAAGTAAATTATTACAAATGCTAATTTAATAGTTCTCACTTCCTTTAACAATATCAAGTTTAATTTAACCTCCCACCGCCAAAAAAAGAATTGGCATTTTAGTTTTCATATATTCACGCCACCAGACTTTGTTAAAATAAACCAAGCAAGGTAATTAAAACAACATGTAAAACATTTCTCAAAAACAGAGTTAGAAATATTGCACATAGAAGAACATGCAGAACAGGTGAGCTTATACACACGTTTATGAAGTATTTAATTTTTTTTTTTAAATGGCAGAAATAAGTGAAAAGGGATTGGAAAAGGGATTGTTAAATGTTAAAGTAATAAAGCATTGAGATTAGCTTTAAATGTATTAGAATTAACTTAGGTCTACACCAAAGCATTTTGTAGGTATCTAGTAAAAAATAATAATAAAGGTGTAAATTTTTGATCTTATAAAAAGATGAAGTTATTTATGAAAACCTTTCCATTATTTAGTGGATGGTAGGTATGTCAGAACAAGCAGTGCACATTTAACAGAGAATAAAAATTAAACTTAAGATGACAGATGGATATCCAAAACTGTAGAAATTTAACATTCTCAAAGGTACTCTGCAATGCCAAGCCACCAAATGACACGAAAGACAGTTCTAGCTTAATAAAGCAAAACACGCTTGAGAATATATTAACAAGAAAAAGTATATTTCCAATGTCAGGAAAAGAACAAAATAAAATTTCCTTTCCAAGAAGGGAAGGAGGCCCTTGATACCCCTTTATATGGTTTCCTGCTTAGTGGAGGAAATCATACAGAATGGAGCAGATTATGTAAAATGAAAATGAGTTAAGTTGTTGGACTACAATTAGTTGTAGCAGATTATTTTTTTACTCAGAGATTACACATTTGACCATGTTTTCAGGTCAGGTAACACAGATTTCTTCACAACACCAGGACAGCTGGTAATGGGCCAGATTTCTTATTTTCTCAACCAAGTTTTGGGAATCATGCCATCCTTTTTTCCTTACCATGTATCACAGGCTCTGCACATTGCTACAGGCTCAATGTGCTTTGTGTGTATTTGTGCCAAAATCTGCAAGATTGAGGGCACGGCATCCACCCACCGTTCCCTTTTGTATCCATATACAGACAGATGTACCAAAAGGGCAGGGCTTGGACTGTGAAACAACACCCACCAGTCACAGATCCCACCCCCAGCAGGTGCTTTAAAAACAAGCTAACCAATCAAATTCATTGTACAGATGTAATAATGGGCATAATTTGTTCATAATATGAAGGCTGAATTGGGTGTTGGGTACAATGCATTTCTTACTATCGAGCAGCTGAATAAATGCACACCAGAAAATGATTTATTCAGGGAAAAAAACATATATTTTAAAATGTGTAGTATAGATAGTCCTTGTTCAGGGACCCCAATTGGGATCAGCAACTTGGTTGTTAAGCAAAGTGGTAGCTAAGCAAAACCGTAACTGTGCTAACGATCTTACTTACACAAATCTTACGTTAAAGATCTATGAAGGCTGTAAATGCAAAGATCGATAGCAAATTTATTTTTTTTCATCATCCTTATTTGCAAACTGCCTCTAAATGAGGAAGTCACCAAACAAGGACTCCTGTAGTACTCATCCTGGAAGAAACTTATTCTCTCCACATATAAAACATTTGTACAAAGATAAATCTCCCCATCTTTAGTGCTCATAAATATTTTAAGTCCTTTACATTTTTGTATGTACAATGAAGTCATATGATTACAATTTTTTTCCTGCATGTAAAAATACTTTGCTGCTCATTTATTTTGTCAATTTACAATGCAAGGATGGAAATCACTGGCTATTGACAGAAAACAGGTTTGTTTAAGTCAAAAAATTTTTTGCATGAAAGCTATATATAATCTATTAATATATATTCCTGAGACTTCTGTTACGTCAATAATAAATATACATGCTTGGAATTAAGTTCTTTTATTTATTCTGATATCGAACTAATCAATATCTCAAATATTAGAAGCAATAAAAAAAGAAATGCCTATTGGCTGATAATGCATGTAGTCAGAGAATCTAGATAGAATTAAACTGAGAGTCAATATTCTTGTCTAATTCTTGTCTAATCTAATTCTAATTTTTTCTACTTGTTTTATTCAGAAGAAATGTAGCAGAGAATGAAATCTCACTTATAAAAGTTTATATCTCTCTAATAAAGGCAGAGATGAGATACAGTCCACTGAGATACAGATAGTTCTCAACTTATGGCTGTAATTGAACCTGGAATTATGGCCGTAAGTCATGGCAGTAGTCAAATAGATCACATGACTGTGTCCAATTTTACGTCCTTTTTTTATGGCGGTTGTTAACCAACCTAATGCGCATATTTTTCCCAGAAAGCAGAAGTAAATGCTGGTTTCTAGGGAAAAAATGCTGAAAATCAGGGTCTCACATGACCACGGGACAACTGCAAATGGCCATAAATGCATGCTAGTTGCCAAGCCCCCCAAATGTGATCATACAATTAGGGGAAGTGGGCAGATGAGCAGCCATTAGAATTTCAAAACTAGACCATAAGTAGTTTAGGGGAGGTTCATTCTAACTTCAAATGTATCCAGCCATAAGTAAGACTATTATCTGTATTTCCCTTTAGAAGTTATATGGAAATGAATGGCATTAGGCCAAGAACAGGGGACTTAGCTACTTCTTAGCTTTTCTAATTGAATTTGCATGAGAGAAAAAATTCTATGTCTATTTAATAGTTTATAGTGATTCTTCTACCCCTTACTATATATGAAATATGAGAATTTTTCACACTACTGCTGGAAAATAAAATAAGATGTCTGTTGTATATGTAATTATATCACAAAAAACAATTTCTGCCCTGCCGGCAAATTAGAAATTAAAAATAGTTCTCCATGTCATTATCAATCAAGATAATGAATAAATCAAAACTGCAACCATAGGAAGTCTTTACAGACAATTTAGAGAAAATGGTTAAGATATTTCTTAACTTCAACTAATATGTATTTCGTTCCATTTTTAGTAAGACACACACACAAAAATTTTCTCATGCAAATTCAATTAGTAAGAGCGATTTGTCTGCAGACTGTTTAGCGTTCTTTACATTATGCCTTTTCACAATACTGCATTTTTTGAATATAAGGCGGGCCAATTTGTTGAAAAGAAGATACATGCACTATATAACAGATCAACAAGAGATAATCACATTATCCTAGACAATGTTATGTTTCTAACGCATCAAATAGCAGTACAGTTTAATTTACACACATCATAAGAAAATGCCAAGCTGAATCCTAAGGGCATATTGGTAGCTTCCCTTCACTGAATTGAAGATTCTATTCAGAAATAATTGAGAATCGTGAACAAGGGTGCTAATAATTCTTTTGCTGTGAATTGCACCACTTTTATACCTAAGACATCTTTTTCTTTGTGTTTTGTAAGTCTAATTCTTAAGCTCATTTTAAAATAGAGTTCAAGATAAAAATGATAGAAGCTTTTTAACACACTTTCTAAGTAACATATTACATAAGCCAGAACAGACTGCACGGTACCAGGGTCTCCTATGCAACAATTTTCTTTTACAAAGAAAAGAATTTCAATATGAAAAACAGGAAGACTAAAAATGCTTAATTCTTCACCCACTTTTCTTTTCTTTCTTTTTAGAAATCATGGAGGAAAATAGCAGAATTTAACAGACAGAATAAAAGCATGGAAAAGTTTAGCATTCCTTCCCCTGTCTCTAGTGACTATTTTCTTTTCTTTCTTTTTTTAAGTCCAAGAATTCTCTGTGTAAGAGTAGCTTGCATGTAACTTGGTATAAAATGTTTTATAGTCCTAATATGTTATTATATGTAGAAATCACACATATCTATGATGGCAAGCTTGCAGAGATTCCAATAAAAATTATGCATTTTTCAAATCCTACTAATTTCATTAGGATACATTAAAGCTAAAATAATAAATTAGGTAGTAACAAAGTTCAATAAATACAATGAGCTTTACCTCTCAGCAAACATATTGCACTATGAAGCAACGTGAAACAGTTCACATTAAGTAAAGTATTGTTAAATTCTTCACTATGACTAACTCATCCTTTCAATATGCAGGTTGTCTCCTGCAACAAGCTACGGTAATCGTAACAACAAAACAACAACAAAAACCATATTCAAAAGAAGTACTTTCTCCTTTATTGATTTATTTTAATGCTAACAAAATTGTCACAAGTGCAGATGGAATTCAACAGTACTTGAAATTCCCCAATTAGTCATATATTGATTAATTATGTATGGAAAAACTGATCCTAGAGTGGCACATGAAACATTGCAAACGTAATGCTACTTAAGTTACAGCATAATCTCATGCTGATTTCTACATACACTGAACTGAGTTAGTAACTTTCCAGCCTTATTAATCTGTACGCTGCTAAAATTCTAATCACTTTCATTTTAAACTGGGTAAAACGGTGCATATAAACTAAAGGAATGCCTGTTCCTTTTGTTCTTAAACTGGGGAAAAAACCCAATTCAGAGAGAGACAAGTCTCCCTGGGCTTATTGGCCATCTTCATAGGAATTGAAATTTGGCAAATTGTATAAAACATTTTATGACATAAACATAAAACAGTTTATTACATAATACAAAATGTCATAAAACATTTCCTGTGTTGATGTTGGTGCCATACAGCTCAACTTGGGGGCTATTTTCAAGGAAGATACATCTCTGAATGGATGCCATTTTTTCCAGTGAAGACAGAACATTAGAAGTTCTGTCTCCGTTGAATTTGGTAAGGGAATATTTCTGAAAGGATGAGCCAGGTTGTTTAGTAACACAGATATTATGCAAGACTACATTTATACACAAAAGTAGAGTGATGTTACTCAGTATTCCATATTGCTGCTGATCTATGCAAATTATAAGTTTGGGGGAGAATTATTACTGGAACAGCCCTGGGAATTTGAGAATTCAGGGCTAACTTGTCAAATGATGCAGGGTGTTTTAAAAATTAATTTTATAGAATCATTTAGAATTGTGCTTAAAGTTGCTCCATTTGCAGATGTTCTGAAATTAGACAGGACGGGCAGGCAGGGTTATTCAGTAACAATTACAGACAAGCTAGTCAAAAACTTGTGGAACAGCGGCATAAAGCTATCGCAAACTGTCAGCTACTGCTTAATAATGTGAAATATTTCAAGTTTGAATTTCCCTGACCTCCTGCGGAGAGATCCCCGACTGTAGTGCTGAAGCTCCAGTAACAGAAATGGCAGAGAATGCTGATGAGAAAATATTTAATACATGAGCTCTAATCTGATACGAGGGAGCAAACGGAACAGAAGCAAAAATGAAACATAACAAATGACAGAAAGATTATGTGTACAATAAAACATGGGCTATTTCTATCATACATTTGATGTATATGGCTTTACTACAGCCATAATCCAACTTGGGGCTTCTTGGCATTGCTCTATCAGGCAAACTCTGCACAGCCCCTTATTACTGTATAACAGGGGTGTCAAACTCACGTCATCACGACAATGTCATGTGATGTATCGGGACTTTTTTCTCCTTTGCTAAACCAGGCGTGGCCATGGCAAGCACATGACACATCCAGCCCGCAGGCTGAGAGTTTGACAGCCCTCCTGTATAACAATGATACAGCGATTTACTTATTGATTTTATTTATCTATATCCCACCTTTGCTATTTTTACAAATAATTCAAGGCAGTGAACATATCCAACACACCTTCCTCCTCCTGTTTTCCCCACAACAACAACCTTCTGAAATGACTTGGGCTGAGAGAAAGTAACTGGTCCAAAAGCACCCAGCTGGCTTTGTAGGCTAAGGTGGAACTTGAAACTCACAGCTCTTGCTTTCTAGCCTGGTGCCTTAACCTACCTAGACCAAACTGGCTGTTTTTGTCTGAAAGGTTTTTAAGAAATTAAAATTTGTTTATTATTGGCAGCCTGATTTTACCCTTCTTGTTTCCCGAATATGTGGGATATACACTAAGAACTACAAAGCATGGCTTACTTTTTATTGTTTATTATTATATTATAAAGTCTTATCTTTCATGAGCTTTCAAGATTCAGCTCATACAACCAGCACAGCTCACCCTTTAATGTGGCCCTTGACAGCCTCCATAGGTACCATGGTAGCCCACTGTACCAAGAGCCAAGTCATTAAAGCATGCCATAATACCTTCTTTCTAGCCCATCAAGTACTGTGGCCTCATTCTATAATAAGACATCATATAACTCAACATTTGTGAAAGTTAATCTAAAGAAATAGTTCACTTATATATAGGAAAAATTACAAACAGAAAAGTGCTATTTCTGAATCATAATGACCACATGATGGTCATCTGGGGGACAGCACAACACATCCCTTTATGTGTGTCACAATCCACACTGAGAAAAACAAGCTATCTTCAGCAATGTATAACTTGTTTTAGATTTGGTGTACAGGAGACTTAAAAAAATTAATTGAAGATGAAAGAAGATTTGAAACAAGTCAAATAGAAATGTCCCTCTTAATATAGGATGCAGGAGCAGCAAAAGCATTATATTTTCCAGCTTGTGCTAAATTTCAGAAACTGGGTATTCTGCAATTTTGATCTTGCAATTCTTATGGCCACTGACACCACCAATAGGTCTCTTTACTAAACAGTTGTTAAAAAACAAAAGCAGAGCCTTTACATTGTAAACAAGTTTGAGAAGACTAGCCTACAATAGAAAAACTGTAATCTTTGTTTCATTGGCTTTGACCGATTTTGGGAAGAGGGCTTCCTTCCTAATGGAAGGACACACAAATAAAAGAAATTCTTAGGAAACCATGTAAGAATCTTCAATACCAAGCCATATTTATAAGACATTAAAAGTCCTTAAGAACAGAAATACCAATACCATGACTGCAATTCTATCCACTCACCTTAATGTCTGTATTAGGCTATAAGGCAATTACATTTAAATAATTTCAAATAATTTATAGCACCAATTGCCAAGAACCATTTAGTGAGAAGTCTCTCTTCCCCCCGCCCCCCACCCCCATGTGTATGTATGTGCCTGTCTGTCTGTCTGTCTTTTGGAGAGGAAAATAAAAGAATGGTATCTCTAGATTAAATAAGCAAAAATAGCTTTAAATAGAAAAACTAGGGAGATGTTAAAAGCTTTTATCTTGTATTTAACCAAAATCCTAGTGTAATTCCCTCTTAAACAAGATGATTCACAGTGAGAGAACAACAATTTGTTCAGTCCTAACAACTAAGTTGGAAATCTGGCATCACGGAAGCACTAGTATGAACATACCACAATGAAGAAATAACATGTTATTACAAAGCAAGTCAAATGTGGGATTATCAGAATTCTCATTAAAACATCAAACAGTTAAAAAAGAAAAAGAGTTAAAAAGAGGCTTTTATCCATAAAAATCCCATCATTAGTTCCTAGCTGTGATGATATTGCTATGATACTTTTGTTATAAGTAGTTTTAGTTGGCACACATTTTTGCAGTCAAACAGCTTATTAAATAAAATATCACAGTTCGTATTTCTTCTAGCACACATTCTTCTGAATAGGTATTTTTTTAAAAAATATTCTAATTCCATTCAAATACAAGACTCATCATAATAATCTAAATGATAAAATACCGTATTAGGAATTAAAAATAACCCTTTTTGTTTGTAAATTCAATCAAAAAATCCCAGTGAATTTGAATGTATGCTGTAACCTTTAGTCTATGTGTTTTCTAAGAAAACAGGTCAAACCCAGTACTATTTTCCATCCTCTTCAACTGCCTTGCTTTAGGTTTTCAAATGGAGACAATCACATCCAGATAAAGTCTGTCATAGGATTCCCTGAAGCATAAGATGAGTAGAAGGCTTAATAAGCAGGAACCTGGGAGGCACCAGTTAAACCAAGAAAATTCTATAGAAAAAAAAAATAGTTTAGTTATTTGTGTAACAGTGTACTTCACTTTAATAAAGCAGTAATTCTAAAATCAGGCTCACAATCTAGACTCCACAATACTTTCGGAGGGGATGGGGGAACAATTTTAGCCTCAAAGCTAATCTTCAAGTGAAAATTAACCATCTCAAAATGAGTATTTTTACCAGAAGGAATTGGTCTCATCAACAACAGATATTGGGAGAAATCATGTCATTAGTGACTTCTGAAAGGAGGACTGGGAGAAGTTTTTCTATTAGCTATCATATTTGAAACACAAAAAATTAAGTGTACAAAATTATGTTTCTGAAAAAAAAACAAAATTGCAAATCAGAACCCAAATTTTAAAACAACAATTCTATCATTGAGCTAAGGGCAATGCAACAATGAAAAGTGAAGAAACATCCACTGAGTTCTCTATTTCTCCAATTCTCTCTACACATTTATAGATCTAAAAACCCTGAAAGTATTGTGGATAAGGTCAATCCTATCTCCACAGGCTAAATATAAAATACAATGTATTTTCTTTAAAACCTCCATGTTAAAGAGGAAATATGCAATAAACCATTGCTACCAGGGACAATTATATATCTTAATGAATGGCTAATAATGCTATTATTGCTTTTATTAAAAAAAACCCACTTAGGGAGCATTATAGCAATAAAACTAAAGATAAAAAAGAAAGCATAGACATAAACTTTAATACAATTAAAGTCAAAATCAAACTTTATATCAGGATAATTAAGTTTGGAATGCAGTAGCCGAGAACTATGGAACTGATGAAAAGCTCCCATTGGCATCTCCCAGCAGTTTTACACAGAGTTTAATAACCTTGACAACAAGAGAGAATATCTGACTGGAAGTTCCAAAAAACCATTGCAAAAATCTGCCTCTAACAGCCATCCCAGCAGATGCTCACAGGGAGATAACATGGTTGAAAGTAGTTCTATTAGCTGAGCATCTGGTATGCTCTCAAACATACACCCAAATAAATTATCTGAATTTTTTGCATCACATTACCATGAGATACAATTAAGTACACACCCCTCTAAAATACATCGAATAGTAATTGGCAGAGCTAAGTTAGCACCGTGGAAGTTAATGAGGATATTTTCAAACTCTCTTTACCCTTTTGAAGCTACAAAAGAATGATTGACTTGGTTGGGCCAACAAATGATTTGAATGCAAGACAGTCATCTTTATTCGCATTCCAATGACAAAGTAATGAAAATTAATAGTTCCAATCTTACTCCAGTCTTTTTAACACTTATTATTAAGAACTTGCTAAGGCCAAAAAAAAAAATTTTTTTTTGTTAATGTGAAAAACTGAATAAAATTTGTTAAAAAAAAAAACTTGCGAAGGTGAAGTTTTGTATTTGGAATTTAAATGAAGTAATCTGATAAGAATACACACAAAACATGAACATAAATATACTTTTTCTTTATCAAACTGTTTTGCGTGTGTGTGTGTGTGTGTGTGTGTGTATACATATACTGATATCTATCTATCTATCTATCTATCTATCTATCTATCTATCTATCTATCTATCTATCATCTATCTCTATCTCTCTATCATAAAAATACAGCTGTGAAACACTTATTGCTACATTGGGAAATTGATTAGAGACAATTTACTGGAAGAAAATAATTGCATTGTTTCTTCCCCCCACAGGGAATTAGATTATTGAAGTATGAGACTGGATTAGTTTTATCACAGGTTTAGATTGCCAGCTACAAATGTGATGGGTAGCAATAGCATTGCACTGATCCTTATTAAAATATGTACATTTAATAATAACCTCCACAGTGTTTAAAGATATGCTACTATTCCAATTTCAAAGGAACGCTTCCACAAAGATGTCAGTCTCTAATTGACAGACAGTTAAACGGATGGCCCAGTTTCAACATTAGTAGAAGATGTTATGCAGTCTACTTTGGTGAATGAAATATATTCCACTGGTAAATTTATATGAGCAAGCATTCATTTCTTACCTCTATGGTAGAAACTAAAGAAAAACAAAAGAACTCCCATGAACATGTTATTTAGGAAGGTGACCACGCCACAGGTAATCCCTTCAGGAACAGGATAGACCGTTTCCACAAAAAGTTCAAAGAAGATAGGGACGCTGCTATTCAAGAAGACACCCAGCAAAATGCAGGAAGTATAAAGTGTGGCTGCAACGAAAGTACACAAGTTCAGTTATTCTGTATGACTACTCTGCTACTGTTCTACTGTATAGTTTTGTAATAATAATAAACTGATATGAACCTTTTTGATCAGATTTTTATAACTTTAAATATGAGGCATACATAGGGCTTTCACATAAACCATTTTTAGTATGTTAGGAAAAGAGAAAATCAATTTGCCAATTATAAATGTAGATGTGCAGATTTCCTGCTAGCAAGAGAAATACAATAATTAGTACATTTGAGCCAGTATGCCAGAAATGCAATCTAAACCAAGTTTTATACCATGCAAATGTAAGCTATGTAAGCCTATGTAAGCCCAGATCTCTAATCTTGAGATTACCTCACTAGCTGACATACAATTGTCCATATCCCACTATGCTTAAACTAGTTATTGATATTATGAAAAAAGGGTTAGAATCAAGAATAGGTGCTACACGAACATAGATTAACAACAAATGTGTAGGACCAGTGCATGAAATATATAGAAGCAGTTTGGTCATACAAATTTAGAGGAAAGGTAAGACCAAAAAAGGCATGCCTGGATGAAGTTACAAGGCTGTCAAAGAGAGAAACAAAACCTTAAAGGTCTAAAGGCAATACATGAGTCCATATATTGATGTGGTAGAAGCAAAGATGATTTAGAAGGATAAAAAGTCACAGAAAGGTGTATTGTAGGATACAAACCAGATTTAGCTATATTTTCTTTCTGTTTTTTTATATGGTATCATTAATTTTGTTTTCTCACAACTTATTAGTGTTCCCATGCTTTGCACAGTGAGGCTTATATAAAAAGAAAATAGCTTGAGACAATACAGTATAAGCGTGTGTGGTTTGTATGTGTTTGTGTGTGTATGTGTTGTGTGTTTGTGTGTGTATGTGTCTTAACTATAATATTTGAGTATGTATAAATTTGATCCAAATATATTTGATCCAAATGTGTGCAATGATATATTGTACAATCATAGCTAACTGAAAGACAAAAGGTATATTACATAACATATAACATATAACTGAGTAGCCCAGCTGTACAGAAGAAAACTGGAGTTCTCTTGTAATGGGCAGATGTCACCCCGTTGTTTGTATATGCTTACTTAATGAGCAGAGAATTTACTGGTGGACTAACAAGTGGACCCAATTGAAAATATCTGTAAGCGCTTGTATAAATCATCTATGCATACAGTTGTGTACATATTCTCAGAATTATTCTGACATCCTTTAGAACTCAATTACTGCAAATATATTACAACAATAAATGAGCTGTTACACAGACAGACCTGCAAATGTTCTTGCTGTCTTGAGTAAATATGTCTCTGATGGGCATTGGCTAGCTTAAACTTCTTGTTCAGAACAGTAGAAAAGTACACGAATACCATCTAATAAAAATAATTTCCCAATTTAGTAATATAATTCATTCTCAGGTTTCTAAACCTCAAGAGGCCTCATTTTTCCCTGATTGAATATTCGAGTAGTATTTAATTGAAAGAGACCAATTTAATATTTTTACACAGACTCTTCTTGTATCAGAATAATATGTAAATAGCAGAGCACCCTCTCAATGAGTTTTGTGCATTTCCATTTCTGCTGCAACATTGGCTCTGGTGAGATAAAGCTAGATCATCCAAAGCAAAACAAAGCAAATCAATTCAACAAATGTGGTCTCAGATGGAGCAAAATAAATTTCTTGATAGTACAAAATAAAAATCTTAGCTCCTGGGCTTTTTAAGTTATTAAGAAGAATAACTTTATTCTCTTTGTCGTCCGACTGCTATTGGATGGATATAAACAATAATGGTATCCTATCCCAAACACTATGTGTCTGCTTTACACTTAGGTAATGTGCAGCCTCACTTGCATACAGAAAGGTTTTACTTTTTAAAGAATTAGGTCAGAGGGTCTGGACTGTGAATTCTTAAACTGAAGTTATTATTATAAAAAAATGTAGCTTATTCCTTAAATATAAACATCTATATTTATTTTAATTTTAATTACTGAGTTCATAGTTCCTAATAGTCACTAAGAATAATATTTAAAATTTGTGTAGATATTCTCAGAACATGTATCTGGTTTGGTGAGAAGGGACGGGATTCTTCAGATTTTTCTATAATACAATCCCAAACAAAATTTAAAAAGTGATCAAGGATGCAGAAAGTTATTTGAAAGTGCTCAAGTCAACTGTAAATTATGCTGTGCTTATAGCAGTTCCCTTCCCATAAATATTGCCATGATTAAATGACCATTAGGTTACATAGAATACAGTGTCTTGACTGGGAGTGAACTTGGCCATTAACAACAGAGTTTAATTCCTCTGCCACTTTTTTTTTTAAGTTGTGCTCTTTCATAGCTAGAAATAAAATTTCTTGTGTTGCTGGATGACACATTTGCTAAAAGAGTTAAGAGGAAAAAGAAAATAGTTGCTTTCTAGCAAATCTGGCCTTCAAAGGCAATATACATGTTCCAGTGGGCTCTCAAGAGGCTAAGAGAAGGGTGGGAAATTAGATTAAATCCAAAAGCTCTTTCGGGATAGGGGAAGGCTAGACTGCAAAGTTACAATGACGTTTCTATCAAGGCAAATATAAACCAGAAAACAAATGTTCAACATTGCATTTTCGCTGTGGAAACTTTGTGTCTAGCATTGTCCTAATGTAATTAAGACAGTTGGCTTTTTATAATTGAAGGCTAGTGTTCAGTCCCCTCAGTTTCAAGTCCTACTAAATAACAAGTCTTGAATCGTATGACAAGATTGGTGCAAGTGGAATATTTTGCCATTGTACTAACCTACTAATTAAAGTGGCATTGTTAAATGAGCTAGGGAAAAAGATGTCAAATACGAAGATTTCAACTATCTGGTCCAATCCACCCTTTCCTATCCATTTCTAAATTTTTTATCTCATTAATCCTGATTGCCACCACATGCACATACAGACATAAGATACACAAAAACATACAGATAAAAACCCCACACCTATTCTGGTAGCACCATCACCCTCATGAAATCTTAACCAAGTTGAATAATATTGTCTCTTTGAGAGTGGCACACCAACAAAGATCCCCATTCACAAATATATTATGATTTATGAAAAACAAAGATTAGAAGGTAGGAGGCACAGCAATTTTTCTTTTTAACATGTGCTTGATTCCCTCCCCCCACTACCACCACGAAAGAAAACATAAAAAAAAAACATGACATGCTGAGAAAAAAAATCTGGAAAACAAATCACATGGACTTTGAATAGAACAAAATAGGTTAGCTTTTATACGCATTGTGGCTTTATGTTACCCTTTTGACTCCTGTAACCAAGTCCAAGATTTTTTTAACTGAGAAATCATTAGCAGAGCTAATAGATTTTTCAGTAATCAATTTATGGAAGCAGTCTATTAAGAGCAATGATAGTAACTGATTAATTCTAACATTTATTGCAATACTATTCCTTTGGTATTGTAAGGAAAAAGAATCGAATACACTAACATAGGCGTATGGATGTGATTTAAGAAAGCCACAATTTCTCACCTTTACCTTTATTTCATTAATATCTAGGGCAGGGACTTCAGTCTTCTATATTGTATTTTCTACTGCTCAACCTTACACTCTCCTCGAAATATGTTGGACTGCAACTGCCATCATCCCTATGCAAAACAAGGTACCAGAGTGGGGAAAGCTATTAGGTTGTATATTTGGGGGGACTTTGAATATGTTTACTGAAAAGCAGAGCCCAGATTTCTAAACACACACTGCAACTAGGCCAGCTATCTTGTGTCTTCTTCTTTTTCCCAAGGACTAGGAAGGCCTCAGCCCTGCTCTATCAGGGCTAAAGATTCAGAAACTTTCAACTTAACAACAGTGTGGTTCGTTTGTTTGTTTATCAAGTTCACATAGCTGCCCATCTCACAAAAATTGACTCCAGGGGACATACAACAATAAATGCATATTAAAAAAGTCATTATTAAAATATAAAAATCATTATTAAATTGTAATGACCGGAAGGCATAGGAAAGAGTGAATATTAACCACAATGCTGGAGCCATCTTAGAATGTCACTGGTTCCATGGGATGCCATGATGACATAGCCAGGTCTTGAGGGACTTCCCTGGAAAGTAGTTATTTACATAAGGACTTTTGGGGGGGGAAATGTGAAAATTACTCAGTTTAAGTAATGGTAAGTTACTTGGGGGTGCAAGCCGATCTAAACATACACCCTTCTCACACATCCAAAAGGGCCAAGTGTGCAAGAATGAGGACAGGATATCACAGCCTTGGTCAACCACAGCAATTTACAGAAATGGGAACTTCAGTTCCCAGAACTCATAGCAATTGCTATGCTATGTGGTGAAGTTGGAAGTTGGTGGTTATGTTTAGAACTTGACTTGTTGTTCCTTATTCAACTGGCTCTTGAGAAAAGTTATTCTGGAGCAAGCAGGCCAATAGGAAAGTTCAAGTTATAAAATTTTGCCTTCTTAGAACTCAGTACTATTTTAGCTTTGCTATACCAGTAATAGCCAAGAGATGATTCATGAGTTACTTTTCTGAAGTCTGATTGCTGCTTGAAATTGCTGTGTGTATTAGCCTTCTGCCTATGGCCAGCTGGCTGCCACCTGGTACACAATTTATTACTGCTTTTTATAATGGAGTGAGGCAAAGGAGGAGGAGGCTGAACTGAAGAAAAGGATTTGCCTCCATAACAATTGAATCCATGAGCTTAAGGGAAGCAGGATATCCTTCATAATTCTCAGCAGAGCTGAGAAAACTAAAATGATTCTATAGTCACTGTAAATTGAAATGACAGGCATTAGGAATTCATAACAAGGCACAATCCATTCAAAAGTTTTTCTAGCTATTAGTAGTCATAAATATATCTTAGGATTCAAAGAATATATCTAATATCTAATATATCCCCCTCATATATCTAAATAAGGACAGCAAGTACATAAATATATCCAGTTAAAACAAATGAAACGTAAAATACCCATAGCATCTGCTTCTATTTAGT